TGCTCATATATTCGGGTTATTTTTTTGCGGTAGGCGATTCTGTAATTCTATCAATGTACTGCTTGTGTCACTTGTGTTTTCATATGGAGCTCTACTTCTCCCTGCTGCAAGTCCCCACCCAATGGAGCTACCCTGCAGGACCTAGGTTCCCTAGGGCTGGGTTACTCCAGCCCTAGAACTGGATGAACACCCACATATATATTAACAGAGCAAGTCTGAGCAGACCGGGTCAATCAGCACTGTCAAGCTGACCCCTTATATGTCTCTGGACTCACTGGGCTGGAGGAAGCAGCACTTTCAAGCTGACTCTCCTTATATGCCCTGGGCTCCATGGACTGGGTCAGGCAACACTTTCAAGCTGTTACCCTTATGCGTCCCAGATTCAGCCCATCCCTATCCCCACTCTCACAACACAATTGTACTGGCAGTAACCTACTCGATGAGCAAACCCCACAGTATTTTGGGCGCTGCAGGGATCTTTAGCTTAGGTAAAAGAAGCGTTGCTGTAGAGTGAATGGGGGAAGCTAAAAACACAAAAGAGTAAAGTTCAGCAAGAGAGAGAGAAGCAATCAACTTAACCATAAAAGTTATTTATTGAATAATAGTGATAACTACACAAGGAGAGCTAAACCAACATAACATACATGATTAAAGGTTAATACCTAAAGTAGAAAGGAAAACAGAGAGAGAAAAAAGGTGGGGAGGGATCTCACCCACTCCATTAGGCTTGAACTGGTCGGGGTTCCCAGGTGATGGTGGTAGCGGAGGGTCCTGAGTGCTGGAGACAGGCAGAGCCCCCAGCACCATCAGTCAGGAGAAGATGGAGTTCCAGTGGAACTGATGCATAGTTTGGATCTAAGCATCAGAACCCTGACTAGAGGGTGAGTAGGGATTTTTGTAGAGAAAATACAATGGTTCAAGGGAGAACACTAGATTTGTTTATAGGTAAGCTGATGACTCAAGGGTTTTCTTTAGACTAGACAATAGGAGCTGATCACTCTTGGCCATGGGTGGTGTTTTCTTCCAGGGAGCTCACAATGCAACTAGGCTGCTTCAGTATTTGGATATCAATTAAGAATTCAGACTAGAATTGGTCTGATAATTGCTGAGCCGGGTGTGTGCAGACATAGGTTCATTAGCATCTGGAGCAGAGATTCCCATGATGCAGTGCTTCCCTGCTTTTTCTGGTCCCAGAATTCAGTGTGGTTCTCTGTTCTCCATTCTGTATGTAAATTGAGATGTCTTCCTGTCCCATCTTTCATGCAGATGAGGCTAGGCGAGTTGTCTCTGCTCTTCATTCTGTATGTTAATAGAGATGTCTTCATCTTGTCACCCTTGTCAGGAGGGGTCTAGGTGTGTCTCCCAATGCCTTTCACTGCTCTCTGCAAGTTTTTTTTCCTCTGATGGTTATGGTTTTGGTTTAAGCAGAGGAGGGTGTGTGTGTGTGTCTTTCATGAGTCAGGCTGGATACTGCACCCTGGTCCCCCAGAACACAGAGGTGTCTGGTATCACCACCTGCGTCCCTCCTCTCCAGCCTGCACCCCTCCCCTCAGCCTGCCTGTCCTCCCCCAGCCTGCGCCCCTCCCCTGCCTGCGCCCCTCTCCCCTCCAGCCTGTACAACCCCCTTCCCCTGCCTGCTGCCCTCTCCCCACAACCTGCACAACACCCCTCCCCGCCTGTGCCCCTCCTCCCCCACCTGTATATCCCCCTCCTGCCTGTGCCTCCTCCCCCACCTGCGCCCCCTCAGCCTGTGTACCTCCCCCGCCTGCATCCCCTCCCCTGCCTGTCTTTCCTCCCCTCAGCCTGCCTGTCCTCCCCCAGCCTGTGCCCCTCCCCTGTCTGCATCCCCTTCCCCTGCCTGCGCCCCTCTCCCCACAACCCTCACAACACCCCTCCCCACCTTCGCCCCCCCTCCCCCGCCTGCACCCCTCACCTCAGCCTGCCTGTCCTCCCCCTGCCTGCGCCCCTCTCCCCTCCAGCCTGTACAACCCCCTTCCCCTGCCTGCTCCCCTCTCCCCACAACCTGCACAACACCCCTCCCCGCCTGTGCCCCCTCAGCTCCTGCCTTCACCCCCCCCGCCTGCGCCCCTTCCCCACCCTCCCAGCCTGCCCCTCCCTCAGCCTGCGCCCCTTCCCCGCCGCCGCTTCTCCTGGCGCCGCCGCTCTCACTTTCAGTTTCTCTCCCACTTCTGCTAGCG